GATTGCGGCCTCGAATGCGAAGACCGTGTTCATGTAGTCGCGGAATGTCCGATGTACAAGNGGCATAGGAGGTGGGTTGAAAAGGCGGGAAGGGATATCGTTAGGATAGACAGACTAGGGAAGACATTTTTGAGCCACCTTTGGCAAAGTAGAAAGGAACGATTGGCCATCGGTGATCGGTCCTGTGGGAACAATGCTCCGTCCTCACGAGGACGCGTGGTCCATGGTCTAACCGCTAAGGCATGCAAAACATAAGAGTACCCCCCTCACACACACACACACACACCTGAAGGCTCAGCAGCCAATCGGCATAAGCGCCCCCCCCTCACGTTCCAAGAAGTCTGCTTCTTGGCCCCGCCTTTTCTTGTTTCCAGAGGCCCGAATGGCTTCCATTGGGCCTCATACTTCCTCGCTACATATGGAGAAGAGGCTTCGTAGGACGCTCGCCAGCTCCTGGGGACCGGCATTTACCAGATTCACCCGTACGCGTAACAACGAAGTTGGGACGACAGCGGTGTGTTCGGGATCTGCCGCTCACTTCGGTTCAGTTGGGGGAAACTTGCAAACTTGCTCCCCCGAGTGGCGTCAGGCACCAGCGAGTGGTGTAAGACACCCCCCCGCCATGGATAAATCTAAATTTTTCAAATCTCGAATACTCCGCAGTAACAACAGCAGTTACGGTGCCCAAAATGGAGGCCGTGAAGCCGCCTATTCAAGATCTTTCCAGCAAATTACATACTCTGGAGTGTCTGGTAGCATTTGGTGTTGACATCCTCTTTGTCATGAGCGTAATTGAGCCCCAAAAATCGGTGGGGGAGGTGGGTATCTTTCGATTCACGGTAGCTGTAAGTGGTTACCAATACTGAACGGTTGATACGACCCTGAAATTCACCACAGTCAGTATCTTCTAAACAAGCTAAGACTTGCAATGACATTCCCCTATTGGCCAATACGGCAGTGTCATCGTATGTACAATTGGTACAAGCAGCAAGAATCCGTGCTCAGATCTGGGTAGTACCTTCCGTACTACAGCGAGCCGTCCACCGCGTGCAGCACGCGATGTCTCGTTGATCACCGATTGGAGGCCTCTATTCCATGTCTGCCGTAGCACAAGTCACCTTTGTAGTGCTCTCTTTTGCTTGAGAGAGGTCCTCTGGTCTGCTTGCTGCGAGAGCGAGACGATCAGCCGCCAGCAGGAAGGCCTCGTGGGACGAGGCCAACCATCTTTTGTTTGATGCGGCAGCAGCAGCAGGCACAGGGATAGCAGCACCGCTCTTTCGTTCTAACGCGGGTAAATTCCTGGCAGCTCTCGGTCGCTTCGCCACAGGCTCCACCCGTGCGTGTGTGCGCAAGACGTGAAGGAGATCACAGCAGACAACGCAAGTGCGGATGTGTGGATTAGTTGATGTAGTGCGGCTGTGTAAAGCAAACAGCTGTATTTTGGCTGCGGACTGACAAATCCCTGTGAATCCTTTCCGAAGTTCGAATCCACGGAGCCCCCTTCAAAATTTCGCCGCATGTTTGATCTCTGGTGGTTGCTTCCTCGTTCCCTCCCCACACTCTCCTCTCACACCACCGCCACCGCCCACTAAGGGGAGCGGTCCATCCCTTCTCCTCGCATCGTACAAGTAGTACCAGCCGATCCTGTGCCGGGCGTTATAAAAGAAGACAGGCGAGGCTCCACAAGGACGGGAAGATCTGCTGTGCCCGAAGCCGCAACGGCGCGTGTGCATGTTTTTTTGTCCCACGGCCCTCGGGGGCACGTTTTGATCGCGACGGACTCTCCAGCGCCCTCCCTCACCCGAACGGCAGCCAAGACTGAAAGAGCACACCGCCCCAACGTTCAAGTTTGGTTGCAGCTACTGGCGCGGTGCCTCTTCTTGGGTGCTGAAGTATTTCCCCCGGTGAGAGGTTCAAACCTCAAACTCTCCCACCGTAAACATCAGAGATCTATCCGTGGGGAGACACAGCCTAGTTTTCTAGGGCAGCGTGGTAGCACGGAACTGAGGCATGGACTAGGCTCCCGCGGACTTCGCCCCGTCGAGCTCTTCAGCTGTCGGCTACGGGGAGCCTGCGGGAAAGGGAACAGCTTCCCCAGATGCCACGATGGTGTCCGCTTCCACCAACAACCTGAACCCACACGCAGACACGGGCCACCATCCGCCCGCACCACCGGTTGCTGCAGTGGCGACCGCTTCGACATCTACTGGACCGTCCGGACAGGCATATGGGGGGTGGGAAGGTGTAGCGGGGAACAAGGAAGCAAAGCCCGATGCTGCCGGCAGGGCCCGATCGACGGATCCACGACCGGCAGGAGGGCGTGGTTGAGACAGGACGCCCCCGCCGCGGTCGACCACGGGCCCGGCGGGTTCCAACTTCGCGAACATTGCCGTTGTCGCCCTGCGTGCCTTGCGTCAGCAGCAGCAGCGGGCTCAGGCTGAATGCAACGACTTTATGCAGAGGCTTCTGCCCACGGAAGTGCCGCCGTCTCCTTCGCAACGGAATGCTCCGCCGCACGGGCAGCAGCAGCGCCCCAGCCCTGACAATGGCGGAGACAGCAAGAGCACCCAAAAGAGAAAGAGAAAGTCCGGTAGAAAGGCCAAAAAGAAAGACACGGACGAGCGCCAACCAGCCGGGACGGGCGCTACTTTCTATCCGCCTGGAAGCGTGCCGTCAGGGGCATGGACCGCTGTGCCGGCGACAACAAGCCCGTCTACGAATCCACGGGCAGCGAGAGGGCGAGGTCGAGAGGCGACGCTACCGGCGTGGATGACTGCGACCCAAGAAACTCCGCCCGGTGGACTTCAACAGCAAGCGGGGCCTGGAACCGATTCCCGGATGCCCGGACCTTCGGGTTCCCACTCATCTGGGCCGCAACAGAGTGCCCGAACCAAGGCCCACGGTGACAACAAGACAAAGAATGAATCGGGTCCAAATGACAAGAAAACCCAAGGAAGAGGAGCCACCACACTGGCGTCCGCAGCATGGCCTACCGACTACCACCAGGAAACGTCAACAACGGTTGCAGGGAACGCTCGAGGAGCCCTGCTCGGGACGACGGTCCCTTCCAGGGCATGTGCAAATGCTGCGCCAGGCGGGTTCCAACAGCAACCGCAGCTTGCGAGCCCTCGGGTGCCTCGACCTCTACCGGCCGGGTTGAGCTCGTCTCGCCCCGAAGAGAATAATCAAATTGTTTCCTTTTGCAAGGGTAGCTCTAGCATCTAGAACAAATCGAAAAACAAGAAAAAGAAGAAGCCCCAGGCGGCCGGGACAAGCACTACCCAATCGGCGTGGCCTTCACCCGCCAAGCTAGAGAGCAGCGATGGGAATGCGATTATTGCTGGACCTGCACCCGCAGCTACGGCCGAGTCAAACCACCGTGCCACCGAGCATGGGTGGGTGGCAGCGGTCGGCGCTTTCCACGGCCAGGAGGCGTCAACAACGGCATGGGCAGGGAGCGGCAGTGGGCCTTCAAGGCCCAAGAGAAACCGGGAAGAAGAGCTGACGACGACCGAGATAACCACCCGACTGCGCAATCCGAGCAAGGCGCCGGGGCAGCAGCAGAAGCAGCAAACGCCTGACGAGATGATGGACATGGTACGGCGGATGGCCAGCATGGGAATAGCGACGGTGCCGAAGAAGAAAAAATTGACTCTTGACGCAAGCAGCGAGCCGAAGGTGATTTTCAACATAAAGCTCAATAATAGGGCGGTCGCACGTGTTCGCGTCTTGTCGTTCACGCCCGCGGTGGTGCTAGCGTATCCTGTCGAGCACCACAACACGCTTTGGGTGAGGTTACCGAATGGCGGAAATCCTGACGGCTGCGGTTGCTGCGCAGGCGCCAGGAACAAAAAGATCGTGGTAAAAGTAGGAAAACAAAACAGCTTGTGTGTCTTTCGTCTTGTCCAAGAACAACGAGTCTCGTTTCGCTGTTAATCCTTCTGCGTGGCTGCAGGGCGTGAAACAGTGAGTAAATACCAGACAGAAAGCACCCCTCCTTGTTTTTGACGGTGTTCTGCGTGTATTCCCGGTTTTCGTGGAACGCGAGGCAAGAACATCAGCACTTTGTCATTTTTCCCGACTACGACCAAACGATGGCTTTGCCAAGCGTTCGTGGTTCCACCCAATAGTGATCCTTGGCTGAAATAACTGTCAAGTCCAACAGTTGGCGGTCGTGCCTCCAACCTGTGCTCCGCACCGCCTGTTTGCGGTATCCCTTTTTGCCTGTCTCCCCGAAGGCCCTGATCGCTACCAGGGCCCGATTCCGGATAATACACCACCATGCTCTTCCGAGTCAGCAGCAGTTGGTACTTTATGATCCACCAACCTCCAACATCGCCAGCGGCCGAAGCGGCGCAACCAGAAGCAACCAATCGTCGTGGGGTCCGCCCGCCCGTGCCCCTCTTGCCATCAAGCCTTCAACTTGGACGACCCCGAAGCCGCCGCCGCCTCCCCCCTCTCCCCTTGTGGTTCTCGACGGAACCGATATCGCGCTTACCTACTGGAGAACGGATGACCGGTGGTCCGCTCTCCAGCCTCTGCTGGCAATCCAGGTGTGCGTCATCGCTTCCTTTCGATCGGGCGCGTGATTGGTCGGTGCTGGTGTTGCGCCGATGCATTGGTGGGTTCAACGTGCTGGGAGGTGGTCTATCCTACCGGATTGCTTTAGCAGCATGGCTCGAACGGTTGTCGTGTGCATGAAGCTTGCGCGCCTCTGTGAAGTTGTTTTGTCATTGGTGTCAACCGCTGGTGCCGTCCTACCTGAAACCGCCTCCCGAGCACCACCCTTAAAACCGCAAGACCATTGTTGCGCCTAGAGGACACAGACAGTACGGTGTAAGAAAACCTCCTCAGCTCCCGCTCGTTTTGTCGTTCTTTTGCAGGGAAACCTCCTCAACTCCCGCTCTTGTTGTCGTTCTGTCGCTTGAGCAGTTTTTCAAGGAATGGGGAGTGCCATGCGTGGCCTTCCTACCCCGCGAACGCGTCTGCAGCGTCACCCTTCAAGACGGTGAGATGAGACAATAGTTTCGATAAACAGCCCCGTTGTGTTGCATGAAGGTGCGCCGTGATCGGAGTTGGTGAAGCCTTCCGTTGTTTGGGTGTCGCGGTGTGGACGCGGTGTGGAACTGGGGAAGTTGTGGTGGCGGCAGCATCGGGAACTCGACGATATGATCCGAGAAAAATTGCGCTCAGGTTGTGGATCACACACTCCGCGTAGACATGCTTTCTGCTATGTCAGCGAGGAAACGCCATGGTGCGCTCGTTATCCCTTGCCGTTGCTCCGCGTGTAGTAGTCGGCCCTCCATTCTCTCGTGCGGTGGTCCGCGGCAACTTTGAGTTGGAACTTCCTGAACTTTCCATCCCCCGCGCCTTTGTTGTTTGCGTCTTTCGAAGAAACGCACGTCAGCAAGTTTGGATGATTTTGGTAGTCGTTCCGTAACTCCATGTTTGGTAACAAACTGGGTTCCCAAAACCTTGGTCATCGGCCATATATACTGCTACCTGGCTGCTTTACCCGTTTGGATGCTGGCCCCTTTCTTTGCTCGAATCATGGGCTCCCCTAGTTGTTCTTGGCTGGTATAAAATCACTTGTTCCGTTTTCAGGGGGATCGCCGACTAGTTTCGAGGGAGGCTTCCTGCGGTCGGATCTAGTGCACAAAGACATGCGTCGACCAGTAGTAGGAGTCCGCGCTGGGTCATACTCATTGCTCACGTTTGGCATGCCCCGCCCCAACCCCTTCAACCCGGTCGGCTCTTCCCCATTGGTGACAGATTTCTACACCGCGTTTCACGAGGCACGGAGCCGCAGAGCGATCTCAGAAATTCCACAGGGGGCAAACGCGAGTCTTTTCATTCTTAAGTGAGTGTACACCCCCCCCACGTTGAAGGCACGAGGTGCCTAGATCGATCAGAATGACCCCGGGGCGTAAAACTCCTAGGAGGGTCTCAGGACCCTAGCAGCGGCCCGCGTGGCAGGTCGAGGTGGTAATCGGCGCTATACCGAGCAAGGTGTGTTCGGCGAAGGACAGGGTTGGCAATTGGCAGCATTAAAATGTTTTGGTATTCGCCCGCGGCCCTGGTTCGGGAGCACGCCTGTCATTGGGGAGCATGGAAGCTGAGCCGTTTCATCACGCGAGCCAAGTTTTGATGTGGTAGTGGTACGCTTCGACAGCGCATCTGTGAGTCCTGTTCCTGCGACGTCCGGTCCATGGCCAAGAATAGATATTGAAATATATGCCGGATACCAAAGTATTGCACTCAATCCAACGCGCTTTTTTTCCCAGTTTGCTTCGAAGCCATCTCCCAGTTGCAAAGGTGGGCAAAACTAACCAGCATCGCCCGCGCGCGCCACTTGGGTCATGGCCGTGGTAGTCATGACTATCCGCATATCCGTGAATTGACCACGGCAACATGGCACACCTCCCTCGTCCCGCACCCTCCTTCGGTGCTTTCTCCCTGGCTGCTGCAGGCGCGCCATCGAACACAACGCCTACGTAGTCACTAACGCGAAGCTCAGCGGCCACATCGCCAGCCCGGCGACACTAGGTGCGTGACATGGTGTTGTGGTTTGTTTTTGGCACTGCTGTGGGTGACTGCACGCTGACGACCTACCTTCGGTGGGAGCGAGAAGCCAGCTCGGTTCTTTCCAAACGGCTACTATATTTTTCCACGAAGAAACAGAGGTTGTTGGTCTAGGGGGAGGAAGGATCGAATGAAAAACTGGCGTTTTATCATGGCAAAACGTGTTCCACCACAGGATCCACGTCAACCGCTGTTGCGGCTGGACCGTTAGATCGCCTAGCCGGCAGCATAAGTTGATCTCGTCGGTGCATTCGCTTGTGGATACATTTCAGCGGTGCTTGGACCAAGTAATTCCCAATGCATGCCGTACAAGCCCTAGAAATTGGTTGTTTGCGGCGCCCCAAGCACAACAACGCCTCCGCCGGTCGTGATATACTTGTCTGTTCAAAATTACACGGACCATTCGGGTACAAGTGGGGACACCACAACGGTCCTATTTTTCCGAGCAGAGTAGTAGCTGCTGGGGAACACCTTTCTTTTCCGACCCCGGTGTGTACCGCGCAAAATCGATGCCCTGCGTGCGTTTCGCTTCCCGCCGCAGCTTCTCTGGGGCAGACCAAGAACGAACTACAATCGTACCTCTCCCGCTCTCATGTGCGCTACACATTCGCCGGAGATGACTTCACGCCCGACCCTGAAGCGCCACTCATCAAGGTAAGCCCGTGAACCCCTCGTTCGCGTACTACCCGTGAGCGAATAGCACCACCAACGCATGCGCAGAGAGCACGGCTGCTCGTCAACGACTCCCCCGTCTGTTACGTGTCTTGCTTTTATCAATGTGATGTGAGAGCCGTCCCATGCGATCAGAGCAAGGGTACGCATTCGTGGGCCGGGCGTTCGGGTAATAAAGGTGCGAGCTTGCGAAGTCACTCACGCACGCGGAACAGGGGGGGGGGCATCACCGCCATCAATCGCTTGTGAGCCTCTTCTCGCCCCGACCTCATGTATCAGGACGGGGTGTCAAGGTGTACCACTGTGTCTTCATCGCGTTGTTTTCGCTTGACTGGAGTACTTTCGACACGGCGCTGACACGTAAGCTCTGCCGCCACACCGAATTCTCTCTCACTAACGGCCTTCGGCAGATGTTCGCGAAGCAGGCGTCGGGAGCGAATTAGACGAACAGCAACACGACACGCGGGAGAACAACCGAGCCTGGCGTGATCACCTCTCCGGTCCCTCACCCACCCATGTGAACAAGCCCGAGAGCCGTTCTCCACGCGCAATTTTACATTCTCCCACTGCTGGACTGACCGTCGATGTGAGCCTAGCGCACGTCTTCCTTGAGGCGAGACCGTTTACGCCCGCCCGTGGGCGAGCTGCCGCCGGGCTCTAGTTCAGCCAACGTGTCACGGGGAGTACATAGCATAGCAAAAAAGTAAAAGTTGATTATTATTGAAATGACTACTACAATAACTGTAAAGGCGGGTGAGGCCACTGCTGTTCTCAATACGGGCTGGTGCTGACGTACTGCGCGGACTGTCGACGAAGCGCGTTGAGTTGTTTCGCTTGAACAGATTGCATTGCCATCAGATTGGCTGGCGGTCTTTACTCGTACAAGGGGGGGGGGGGAAGGGCATCAAACTAAATGGAACTTCAGCGGGTGGCAGTGCCAAGCTGTAGTTAACACCTCAGCACGGCACCCGCAGTTTTTTCGGATTCACAAACAGTGCGTGAAGACCCAAAACTTTTCCAAGGAACCAAAATCTGGAGCACGCACGTGCCAAAAGATGGTTTGAGGATTTCTGTTTCGCCGTAAGTGTTAAAATATTCCCAAGCACGGAGACGTCTCTTAGGTCTGTTTGGCCAGGAAACAATACGATGTAGTAGTCGTTGGTCGTGCGCAACCTAAGCCATGAAATCTCAGGTTTGCCACTGCATGGCTTCGATCGTCGTATTTTTTGTATCATCCTTGCTAGGTTATGCGGGATCCTGGACGGCATTCGGCAGACAGGTCGAAACGGGAAGGCAAGCCAGAAAAAAGAATAGCGGCGTTCGAAAAACATTATGGCGACCTAATGAGGATATCGATCGCCCCGTGAGGAGGGGGGGGGGGGGGGGGGGGGGGG